GCATACGTGTCAAAATAGTCAATTCCGGGTTTTTGTCTAAAACCTTGAATGACCAACCGAGCCTTGAACCTGTCAACAGTTCCATCCACTTTCATCTTCTTTTTGAAGATCCATTTGCAACCTAAGGGTTTAGAACCCGGTGGCAAATCCGACAACACCCAAGTGTTGTTCTCCATAATTGATGACATTTCATCATCAATTGCCTCCTTCCAAAAGGCAACATCTCGGGATTCCATTGCCTCTTTAAAGGTCTTTGGATCATCCTCAACTTGGTAACAATATGAATATTGTACCCCCGTTTCATCCCTTGAACCTTCCACTAAATACAAGTGAAAATCGGGACCAAAGTCTTTCACGATGCGGCCTCGTTTGCTTTTCCTTATTTGTGGTGCTTCGGGATTCAAAACACCATCCAAACATTCTGGAACTTGCACCTCACTAGTGCCTGGAACTAGGTCCTTTGGTCTTTGAATTGATGAAAATCTCATCTCATCAAAGATCACATCCCGAGACTCAATCACGGTGTTAACCGCTACCGCATCATTAGGTTCTATTACATAAAACCTATAAGCCTTGGAATGTTCAGCATACCCTATGAATATGCAATCAATTCCCCTTTCCCCCAAAGTTTTCCTTTTGGGCTCGGGCAATTTTACAATCGCCCTACAACCCCAAACCCGAAAATATTTCAAATTCGGCGCTTTCTTGTACCAAAGCTCATATGGGGTTGTCTTGTTCCTTTTATTTGGAACCCTATTTAGAACATAGCAGGCCGTGAGCATGGCCTCTCCCCAAAACCCTTCACTCAAACCCGAGTAGGAAAGCATGGAATTAACCATTTCCTTTAACACTCGATTTTTCCGTTCGGCCACACCATTTTGTTGTGGTGTATACGGAGCCGTGGTCTCATGAATGATTCCAACAGATTGAAAATAATGGGGATCCATATATTCTCCTCCCCGATCAGTCCTAAGACATTTAATTGGATTACCCAATTGCAATTCAACCTCGGTTTTATACACTTTAAATTTCTCTAAAGCTTCATCCTTGGTGTGTAATAAATACACATAACAAAACCGAGTTGAATCATCAATAAAAGTAACAACATACTTTTTATTGCCAAGGGAAGGAGTTGAGTGAAAGTCACATAGATCACTATGTATAAGATCCAAAATAGCCGAATTCCTTTCAACATTAGGAAACGGTTGTTTTGTGATCTTAGTAAGCATGCAAGTCCTACACTTATCATCATTAATATCAAAAGCAGGAATTAAACCATCTTTAGACATTTCATGCATTTTTCTAAAATTAATGTGAGCTAGTCTAGCATGCCAAATCATACAATCATTCATGGAAGATGCCACAAAAACAGAATTATCACTAGGAATTAATTTATTCACAACATTTAAACGAAACATGCGATTTGATAAATATCCAAAACCAACAAACACACCACCCTTGGACAGAATATATTTATCGGATTCAATCACTTGTTTGAACCCTAAATTATTCAACATACTTCCCGAAACAAGATTCTTTCGAACCTTCGGTACATACAAAACATCAAACACCGTAATTGTTTTCCCAGAAGTAAATTCTAAAACAACTACACCCTTTCCCAAGATAGGCACCATTGACTCGTCTCCCATGCGTAATAAGGAACCGACCTCCACTGGTTCTAGGTCTTCAAACCATCCTTTATCCTTACACACATGGCTCGTAACCCCCGAGTCAATCCACCATGCACAGTCATCATCCTGTACATAAAAGGATTCTGGAATGAGTGATACATAATTCTGGACAGAATTATCAAAGTTAGTCAAGAACTGACCTCCTTTCCGTGGAACCAGGTCCTTAGACCGTTCCTGTCCACTGCCACTCGTTCCAGCGCCATTCTTGTTCAGTTTCACACGGCAATCACGCTTGACATGTCCAACCTTTTGACACCTCCAACAAACCAAACCTTTCGGTTTCTTGTTGGGTTTGTCATGGTCTTCATACTTGCGCTTTTTGCCTTTCCCCTTATCTTTCGGGTTAGATTTATTATCCTCAACCAAGTGAACATGAGCCATTCTAGATTCAACTTCACCCATAATTTGGTCATTCTCTTGCACACAAAGATTCTCCTCAATGCGCAAGTGACTCCCAAGTTGAACCAAGGACAGTTCCTCATCTTGATGTTTTAAAGAACGTTTAAAATCCTTCCAAGAGGGTGGAAGTTTGTCAATTATACTCGACACGGCATAGGACTCATCAACACCTATCTTGTGGAGTTTAAATTGACCAAGAACACGAAGGAGTTCATTGTATTGTTCCATAACCGGCCTTGAGTCAACCATTTTATAATTATTAAAATCACTCACCAAGAACTTCTTACTAGAAGCATCCTCGGCGATGTATTTTGACTCAAGAGAATTCCACAATTCCTTAGCACTCTCAACGTTTTGGTAAATATCAAATAACGCATCAGACATACCGTTAAGTATGTGGCCTCTACATATGTAGTCATCGTTCTCCCACTTGTTGCGCCTCCTAGTTTGTTCCAAGGTTTCATCCTCCATCACTTCCGGCATTGGAGTGCTCAACACGTACACAACCTTCAACGTGGTGAGAAGAAAATGCATCTTTTTCTGCCATCTACGGAAATCATTGCCTTGAAACTTGTCCAATTTGTTGAACTTGGATGTCATCTCTTCCACGGTACTCATGATTATCACAAAGGAATATCAATTCGATTGTTGGGGTAAATCACGTAGGGGGTGATAATTTGAGTACTTGAATATCTTAAGGATCGTGTAAGTTCACTTTCCGAATTGATATTTCTCCCCTATGCCTGGGTTACAAGAAATTCAATCTAGGATAATCCTTAAGGACACTCTAGAACTTAGGCACAAGAACTAGAGCCAAACTAGTGAGTATATGGATTGCTATCTTTAATTTGAGTGCCAAAGTGATGAAGATATGTTGGATATGATTCCTCTCTCTCCTCTGTACGAAATATGGTGGTATATATCCATCTTCATCGTCCTAGGCAGTGGTAACACGATTAAGAATAACCGCAGCAGTTTTTGGGAAACTGCTGGAAACTGCCTAACCGTTCTAGAACTCGGTCTAGAACCACAGAGCTGGTCTACTGAAAGTTATACCTCGAGTTCTACCTCGAGTTCCACTAACGTAGACACTTTGGAACTAAACTAGTTCTTATATACAAGTATGCACTCCACACCTACTAACTTGTATTAGATCATAGTTCTAATTCCCATTGGCACTCATGTCATTTCCAATTACACAAAATGGCCGGTGACACTAAAATCACCAACAGATGGCAACAGGGCGGGTTTGGGACGGGGTTTCACTCCCCCATCTATCCCCCGCCCCATGTCTAAAAAGTTTCCCCCATCCCCGCCCCATCCCCGTCACTCCCAGACCCGCCCCACTGTCCCCCACGGGTGCCCACGAAAGCCCCCATATATTTTAAATATCTTATATGTGTATTTTTTTAATCCATTTTATAGATAAATAAATATATAGCACTGAAAGAGTTAAACTAGAAAATATTGTGTTCGATAAAAGATGATACCGCCGATTTTCAATAATTTTTCAATTTGAATAATTTCTATGAAAATAATAAAACTTTAAGTATATGTAAACATATTACCATCATGTATGTCGTTCCAAATTTCTCATCAATTATACATATATGTGTGTGTTCTATTTACTTAGTTTCTCACTTTTAAAACTCATATACTATGTATCATTTATGATAAATATTTCTAGTCATTACTTATTATTTTAATATAATACTTATGTAGTATTAGTACATGTATGCATGTTATGTGTATGTGTTTGTTATATAGTACATATAATTTAATTAAATATGTTTATACATTATTAATATATGCATGTATATATATGTATCATTGAGAATATATTTACAACGGGTACTGGGCGGGGACGGGGCGGGTGTAGTAATCCCCATCCCCGCCCCATATTTTAGCGGGGTAGAAATACCTTACCCATCCCCGCCCCCCGCCCCCGCCCCATCCTTCCCCCACGGGGTGGTTCCCCACGGGTCCCCGCCCCCATTGCCATCCTTAGGTGGAGAGAAAGAAACCCTCCATTAACATACAAATTTTGGCACAAACATACCTTCAAGGGCGTCCAAATTCCATAGTGATTGGCCTGCGCTCGTTCCCAGGTGAGGTCCGTCACTCCGTCAAAAGCTTCGGCTTGCGCTGATGGTCTTGGTGATTACGCTACTACGAGTATTTGTTTGCAAGGGAGAAGGAAACCAGAGACTTGACGGAAGAGAAGAAACGTTTTGACAAGTTCCGCCATCTCCTTTATTCCAAGGACTAAACAGCAAAATTGATTTTTTTATTAAATGCCTCATTGCCTTGTCATAATTTAAGCTATCCACGTGTCATATTTCTATTAGGCCACATTAGCAGAGCACTGTACCTTTAAAATTTTGAAGGTATCGTAGAACCCACCAAGATGTTATGGTACTTATAAAGTATCATACATTTGTGACCAATCAAAGTGTTACAGTTGAATTATTTAAACTAAATTAGACAAGTTCGAATTTGCCTTTTCTTAGAAGATCGAGAAGTTAAAGGAAACTAGGCTGGTTTTAATGTCCACTATATAATGTACACATTAAATAGATACTAGTATTACTATATTCGTTCTCTTTTAATTGCAACATTGGACTTTTGCACTATTCACATATTCTACTTTGATTATATTTTATTTTTTAATATATTATAAATTAAATTCTTTTAAAAATATTGTTAAATTCTTCTCATTCTAATTTTTCAAAATATGATTTTTTTAAAATTTTTAAAAAATTTTAAAGGAATGAAAGATATTAATGCTTAAACTTATACGTTAGTAAACGTGAAATGTTGAAATGTAAACGAACTCCATTACGCAAGCAAACTATATATTGAAGACAACTATATACAAGTTTGAATTTGCCTTATCTTAGAAGAGAAGTTAAAGAAAACTGGGTTGATTTCATTGTCTACTATATACGTAGTAATGTACACGTTAAAGAGAGATTACAATAATGCAAGGATAATCCATCCTCATATATATAAGCAACAAAACTTAATTATTTCCCTGACTAGCTATATTGAATATTAAACAAACAATAAGCTTTAAGAAAACAAAATCTACTTAATATATACGATAGTATACACAATTTCCCATCATTCAAGTAAAAGCGCAAAACAATTCAGTAAGCAGGTAGCTAAGTTAGTAACTTAGCCCCCACTCAAAGCAGCAGCCAAATTCCCAACTCTGAAACCATTATTCCTCATCCCAAAAACCTCTCTGCATTTGAATGAAATTTCTGGCCTTGGGTAGAATCCAACCCTTCTTGAAGAAGTAGAAGTAGTAGAAAATGAAGCCTCTTTGTGATTAGCTGCTGAGATCCCATTGGTTGTGCGCTTATAAGAACTGAACCACTTGGCTTGCATGTATGAATGCCTCCTCCATGGAGGAACATGAATCCCCATTTTCCTCATTGATCTCTTTATCTCATTGCTCATTATCCTTACAATCTTCTTCAGCTCTTCCGTCTTCCCCGCGTACACATCGGGAAACAATTCCAGCAACGAACAGTATCCCGATGTCGGCCTCACGATTTCTAGCTCTCTTCTCAGGTCTACTTCTATAATGAAACGTTCTCCGTTCATGTTTACGTCTATGTATTCGTAATCTCCCTTGTTAGGGCAGCCTTCCTTCTTCTCCCACCTTGTTTTGCATAGACCTGCAATTATTCAAAGTAATCCTTACATTTATTAGCTAGATTTTTAGTGGTACATACATAGAGGCGTTTGGGAACTTAATACACGCAAGCATGGGGAATGAAATGCTGGTTGAAACTTGAAAACACAATGTGGGACCCAAGTCAATAGACATTTGATTATTTCTGTTTGAGCTTTCTACTTGACTCTAATACTATTCTAAAATTTGGGATTTCATCTCCAAAACTTGATTGTTATATATCTTTATAATTAACTAGTTTGTGTGTGATGACTTACACTTATAAACATAAATGCGTAATTAGATTATTGTTCATTCGAGCTTAATTGACTCCCATATGTAACTTCATGTTTTTTTTTGAAAGGGTATGTAACTTCATGTTCAAAACTAGAAACATAAATCCTTATCCCTAGTTACATATATATATACTAGGTATATTCTAGCTAATTATCCCAAGTATTGTAAAACATGCCCATATTATAGAATTATATGTTAGTTTGTACATTTATACTTGAATTGATCAAAGGGTTAATAGCACAAACCATACTGATAAATCGAACAATTAATTGAGGCCTCTCCATGGCAAGACAGAGATTGAGAGACCAACAGAATTATCATCATCATTGTTCTAAAAATCAACCTAGTCGGACCAATTAAACGGCGCCTAGACACTAGGCGGCCCTAGCCGTAACGGATTGATCGACCTAGTTGACCTAGTTGACGCTTTGGCGCTAGGCGCCCTCAATCGCTCGACTAGCGTCTGGCGAGTTTCTGAAGAATGATCACAATTCATAATAAAACTATTTTCTTTAGATATGATCACTAGCTATGTTAAATTGCTAATTACTACACGGAGTATTTTTAAAATACAGTTACTTGATTATAGAAAAAGAAAATCATTAAATGAATCAAGAATGTCTAAAAAACATGTTGGTGGGCCTCATTAAGCTTTCCAATAAAAAAGTCATAAACAGATATGGATGACTAATTAATCATACTCCTATCCTTTAACAATAGTGATTTCTATAATAAGTGTGGTTTATTAAACTTCAAAAATATCTTCTTAATTACGGAGTATAATTTTATGGCTGTAAGGTATAGCTAGATTACCGGCATCCCATCCCTGACCGCGCAACCGGGCCATCAACCGTCGTTTAAACTCCGGCGAAGAAAGATCCCCGGATTCCTGCCGGCGAGCCATTTCCACGTCCTCAAACAACCTCCTCTGTCTTACGCCATTCTCTCCGTCCTCGTACCTTAACAGCCTCTCCAAAGCATCCTTAGCTTCCACGACGTCGTCGCAGTAATTCTCGTCTTCCGTCCGATCCTCGTCGTCCCGGCCGCCATCATCGGCCCACTCAACTCGCCCCTCCCACATGAACGAATTCACGAGGCCGGAGAAATCAACATCCGTCAAGCTTTCGGCGGCGGCGGCAGAGTGCTCGCTGCCGCTGCTTCCGCACGGAGGCCGAGACTTTATTGTGAGAGCCGCCTCGTCGAAGGCTTCCGCTACCCTCTTGAACCTCGCCGGAACCATATTCGCCATTTCAGATAGATAGAGAGAAAGAGATCAATATAATATAGATATGGGGGGCCGGAAAAGCTCTGTAAAAATGGCGACAGGATGTTTACACCATTAGTGCAGTTCCTGATCGATTAGGAAAAATGAGGACATTGTGTTGATATGTAATTATTGTTGGAATTGAAGTTATTTCTTTTTTCATGAAGTAGACTCCATATTTATATGTAATTATGTATGTGTGTACTTTTTGCGGAATCCTAGTGGTGGTGGCGGTGGAGGATTGAGTACATTCAGTTTATTCACTTGAGAAGAACCTAGACATAATACTGAACCAAGTACATTCATGATTCATTCCATAATTTTAATAAATAAATGGCTTAGAATAGCAACAATTACGAGAAAGCAATCCAGCCTAACAGGTTGCCGACTTACTCTCCTATGAAGTCTTGGATTCGAAACTCAATGAAGTGAGTTTCAGTCTAGATAACTGCAGGCTCTCCTAGCCCCCTCACCAAGACAAAGTTCAAAAGTAGAATTACGTATAGAATATTTCATAAGTTTATTTTCATAAAAAATACTCCGTATGTTTTATTTTCAAAATGAGAGTTATTTAGTTCAGTTAAGAAAATAAAATCATAAATTTTTGAAGTAAGAGTAAATGAGTACGTCTTATTTTGAGGGAAATAATAAAGGTCGTATTTAAGGAAATGTGTTACATTTTAGTTCTATATTTGAGGTATCTTCTTTTTTCATATTGTTAACTACCTTAGTACTTAATTAATGAGAACTTTATAAAAACATAACTTGTGAAATCGATCGGTTAGCTTCCTATATATAAAAAAGTTCAAGAATTGTTATGGAACATAACAAAATAAATGTTGTTTGGTTCTTATTTTTGTACGTAGTATGTTTCGACAAATAAATGTTTTCTCATTGAATAATTAACAAATAGTTTACCACATAAAAGCATCAAAATATAAAAACATAATGTGTGTATGTCAAAAGAATAATAGAATAATTCGTAATTCTATAAGTCGGGACTAGGGTACATAATGTGTGTACTACTAACTACTAACTACTTGTACCACTTTTGGAAAAAAGGATGACACCTCATCCCTGAGGGCCCCCAACATCGACCGGACGGTACGATGGGAGAATGTAAATTGGACTATAATCACAATCTGACAGATAGAGAGTGAGCCTCTGTCCCTGGTACTTGCAGAAGTCCTATGCATTTTTCAGCATAGTAACCCCTCATCGCACTTGCCGGGATTCGAATCCGAGACCTAACTCATGTGGCACTCCCTCGCTACCAGTTGAGCTACGCCCACCGGTACTTGTACCACTTTTGGAAAATATAAGCCCAGGTGGTTAGATGTTTGACTCGAGTCCCAGGTGGGTCAACTTTCATATACTCAAGACAAAGTTAGTCTGAGCATCACACGGCACACGGTGGGCGCGGTAGACAACTGTGGAGAATTGGAGCCGTTTTGGTATTATTCTTACTCTTGTTTTACAAAATTAGTTTCTCTTGATGAATTGGTGTCTTTTTTTGACCAATTGATGAATTGGTGTCTAGGTTCGATGAACTTGTAGTTAAAAACTGTCTATGTTCATTGAATCGTGGAAGTTGTATCCGGAGTATAACTATTACCTTTGGAGAGGCTCCCTGGTTCGTAACTTCGTATATATGATCAAAGTTGTATGACTTGCATGTATCACTATTTGGCATACTAAAAAGGTTGCACGATAATAGCTGATGGAGGAATTATGGGATAATCCCTAGTTCATCCTATTACTTATACAATCACACTCTCATTATAGTATTATACTTATAGTTAATATACTGCAAACATTATAATACTACGTAGTTATACAATTATTATATCTACTTATATAGTTAAATTCATCCTATTACTTATATCTACACATTAATACAGTTTTTGTATTAGTTACATTTTTTATTAATATTATTAGTTAAGTAGTTAATTGTTACATTTGTCATTTTCGTATTAGTAAACTAGTTAATTGTTACATTTGTCATTAAATTAGAATTAGTTAATCGTTACATTTGTCATTAAATTAGAGCTAGTTAATTGTTACATTTTTCATTAAATTACAAAACTAGTTAATTGTTACATTTGTCATTAAATTAGAGCTAGTTAATTGTTACATTTTTCATTAAATTACAAATCTAGTTAATTGTTACATTTTTCATTAAATTACAAAACTAGTTAATTGTTACATTTGTCATTAAATTAGAGCTAGTTAATTGTTACATTTTTCATTAAAGTATAAAAGAAAAATAGTTCGAATTTTTATTTCAAGAAACATATACTTCACATTTTATTAAAGTAGTTTGATTAAAATTGTATTTCATTAAACTACACTTGTATTAATTAAAATAGTTTTAATTAGTTGCATTACTTTTGTACTCATATTAATATATTTGTTGCAATTTAATATTTGTTACATTTTTTAAGATGCGACGTGGTAGACAATCGGTTGATATTGGGTAGCCTCAGTCAAAACCGAAGGAAGGAGATTGAGAAGAATCATCCTCATTCGCGCAAAGGTAAAGGACATATCAGGTCTTCTTCTCAAAGCCGAGATGTTTTTTAAACGGATTACCAATGGAGAGATGGAATGGCGATGTCCGATGAGCAACTACAAAACATGTTGTCCCAACAAGATGGACGCTTTTTCCAACAAAAAGACATCCCGACCATTGACGAAGAAGAGCTCGAGCATGATGATGCGAAGGAGGGCGATCCGGACGATGAGGAAGACGTTGAGGACGAGGCTGGTTCATCCCAAATGGAAATCTCTCATGATGAAAAATAATTTAAAAAAAGGAAAGACAAAGCAACCGAGATATGGTACACAACTTGCAACCATTGCTGAAAAGAGTACAACTTGGAAATTTCACAAGGATACGGGAGCGCAAGAAGGCATCTTAAGGGCGCGCACCCCGTGGAGTATGCAAAAATAGCGCCGCAAGGCACGGGGAAGCAAACTCAAATATCAAGGTTTGCAAATGGCCAACCCTTTGGTAATTTCTCATATGATGATTCCAAACATTTGAGTGGTATGTCTAACTTAATTGTTGAAGAAAAATTGTCTTATCTTTTTTCGGAAAGTCTTGCTTTAAGAGAATATGTTCAAGGTAGTTTAAATCCTCAATTTAGAAATTATAATCGCAAAACGATTAAAAAAAATTATAAGGCTTTATAATGCGGATAAGGCAAGATTACAAAATTTTTTCACAAACTTTAATGGGCGTGTTAGTATTTGTAGTGACATATGAGAGGATACGTATCATCATTTATATTATTTGGGTCTGACTGAACATTATATCACTACAAGAAATTGGACTTTTAACTACAAACATTTAATGATGGGTTAGAAATCCTCTCATTAAATGTATAATTTGGGCATTTGTTATGACAGAAAATATCCTCTCATTAAAAGAGTACACTTTTAATGACAAAATTGTATTTTCAGGAAGTAATACTCTCATTATTGATCATATAAAAAAATGTACTCTCACTATTAGTTCTGCTAAGCTTTCTACGGAGTATTCTTTCAGAGCTTTAGGTTTTTCTCTATGGGTTTCTCCTGTTCCCTCATATTTAGGGACCAAATTTTAAGCGCCAAAATTCTAAGAACATCCCGCCCAGGCCTTAAAGTCGCTCCAAATTTTTCATTCCAATTCGTCTCTCTAGTTTTATTTGTCTCTTTCGTTTCCTTTCTTCGCCCAGCTGTTAGATCGAGCATATCCATCGCCATCTTCACAACCCTAATTAAGTTCTTCCATTAATTTGAGCACCGATTTTGTCCAGTTTTGCTATATCCCTCACCATCTTCACAACCCTAAGTGATGATTTTCCAGAGCCGGTTGAAGTGAGAAGAAGTATTCATCAATTTCTGGATTTCATTCCGGAGTTGATAGCAGCATCTACGGTCGTCTCTTCCACCTGGTAAATTTCTATCCATGTGTACCTTTTTCTTTTTTATTTAGAAAGTTCCTACTCCGTATATTATTTTTTTGGTTTAGTGGCTCACATATCTTCTTTGTATTATTGTTTGTGACTTGTGTTCATTGATTGTAAAAACAAGAGACCCAATTGGTTTTATCACTTTTATGTGTACACGGTGCACCCCCTGTTTTATTTGTAAATGAGTGTACAACTACAAGTGTAGTTGAATATTCAAGATAGAGTACCTTTTTTCATCCAAAAAGCAACAGAATATTCAAGATAGAGCACCTCAGCCCAAACAAGCATGAACCCAAGAACAATATTCAACAAAATTTATAAGAAACTTTAATTTCATTGGAAGCAGATTTATTGTGATATAGCTATCCAGGTTGACTTTATATAATTAAGATATACTATGTAGTACTTTTATAAGAATAGTTCATTTAAATGAATATAATTTATATTTTTGTTATATCACTATTTCACCACTTTCTAGAATAATTTCTTGTTGTTCGCATTATTAATTGACAACACAAATATCCAATTATATGTGAAGACTAGTGATGGTATGTGAGTAATTTGGCATCAACTTGCTTATTTTGTTAAATGCTATAAACTTTTCATGGTTGATTGAAATATGACTTGATAAAGGAAATCTGAAAATATATAGGTCTAAGATTTTTTTTATCATGAGAAATTAATCTAGCATTCTCTGGTGCGTGCTTAAGTATATCAGTCTATACAAAATAAAATCATTTGTCATCTCTATTCTAAAAGTCGGATACATTGGCCGCCTAGGTGCCAGAAACTCACTAGGTGGCACACTGCTGTAGAGTGTTTTGTGTTTTCGGTCAAGAAATCGCAACGCCGAGTAGTCGCCTGCCGTGCCCGATTAATCACCAATAATCCCCCGCCTAGCGCGAAACAAATAGTAGGCTTAAATCTTTAAACAAGTTGCTTTTTTTACTATTTTAAAATTTTTGCACTCTTTCTTTACCTCCCAGGTGCCCAGTTGACGAGTACAACACTTCTCGTTCACCCAGTCCACACAGACATTTCTTCTCTTTGGAACGGCAACCATAGTTGACAGATTCCCTTCTTCCTTGAGTGTTGAACCAGCATCTTCCACTCTCCGGTGTCCAGCAGTCCAGTGCCGTCCAGGTAAAAATATTTTCAATGTATTATTACATTTGCTTTGTTAACAAGGTAGTTATGAAAATATTTGCTGAGTTTTGATACTTAATTGAG